TCTGACAACAACAGAGCGCGGTCGCCGGTCGACGAGCCCGAGCTGAAGAAGAAGAAGAAGGGTGAAGCAGGAAGCTAGGGCAAAATCTTTTAGTTTTTTAAATTTTATTAAAATTGCTGGTTGTGAGTTGGGCTTTACTGGCTAAAGCCCGACCCATACTACCAAGTCCCCACTATTGTCTAGTTACAGTTGCAACCAAATATATGCAGGGCTGATCCCGAAAATACAAGGAAACCGAGCAACTAAACAAAACAGATCATCGTACCAGGCTACCAGCAATAGATATCCTCGTATGTGAAAGTAAGTGATTTTTTAATGTTAATTTAAATTATAACCGATACTATATAATTATGTAAAACTATAGAAAATACGCGTATTTGAATATATTTATGCATATAATATGAATAATAGCAAATTCAGAGGTCAGATTTGAATTGGCTAACTGGTTTTTTTCAGTACAAGGCCACAACATTAGTGTATATTTTTTAATAAAAATTCTGAGAACAATGAATTTTACAAAAAAGTTTTAAAATTTCTAATCCTAATTATAAAACCTCAGACTACAAACTATAGTTATAATATTTTATATTCTCTAATTAATAACTCTTATTATAAGGCTGGTAAAAAGAAAATCACCCTGGCAAAAGGGTGATGGCCGGGGGAAGCCATTTCATAGAAGGTTAAGCGCCTTCATAAATCACGGCAGACGTTCACTCCCCCCCCCCCCCCATCCCTTTCTTCCATCACTATTCTCTCAACGCCGAGAAAAGTTACACAACCTTTGTTACCCGTGTGGCACACACTCATTCTCTTTCATACTATATATGTATAATAATTAATAAGTATATTATGAGAGACAGTCCTCTCTTTTTCCCTTTCCCTCCTTTCTTCCCATCCCCAGTTTGAATCAAAGTTTGCTATCTTTGTTCTACCTCGAAGGCTAAGAAATGAAGGGCGAATTTAGCCTCACTTCTCTTCGCGGGGAATACAACCTTCCTGTTAAATAACAAACCCATACAGCCCTCATACGGCAGCCATTTTACACACTGATTCGCGACACACAGCTCCGTTTAGCTTTCGAACAACTCAAGAGAACAAATGTTCACGACGGGATGCGAGGAAACTGTATTCCAAATCAAGTGTCCGATCACGAAAAACATATGGAAGCGGTTATTTCGGCACAAGAATTCGGACACGTCATTCACTCGGGAAATAAAATTATCTGATGTACAACTCCCTAGAAAGACCAGAAGGAGCTTTAACCAATGCATAACGACTGCTAAGCCGACATACGGAGAATTACGTAGATGCCTCCACCAAAATAACTGACAATCCGCGGCACAATCAGACTGAAAATTTCACCGCACAAATTCACAAGCAGACGTCTTCAAATTAGAATTTCTGACATCATAAATATCATGTGCTTGGTGCAGCTTGTTTCTCCATGGAATCTTCACTCTCATTCTTGCCAGCATCTCGCTTTTCATCCTTAGACCCTCCCTCTCCGACCTTGCCAGGGTCTTCTCCAGGCTTTGACACTTCTTCCTCTGTTAGAATAACCAAACAAACACATCTCATTTAGCACAGTATGAACCTATTCACATCCATAATTCCCTGAAGTTATCTCGTGACCATTGGAAGTTTTTAGTTTCAAATATCAAACTCTGACCAACTAGTCCATAAATCGAGTTCATCTATTCAAGTTCTAATGGCAGCAGGACTAAACAAATCATTACGATCAACTAGGATTTTGCCAATCATTATCAGTCCCAGTAAAAGCACTAATCTACCGCTCACGTTCAACAAAAACTCATCTCAATGATGAAACCAATATACTGCGGTTTCATCAAAAACTTCTCTTGTTTTAACAGAACTGAATGTATTGATTCAGACAAAAAAGACATACAAGAAGAAAGAATGTATTCATTCAAAAGAAAGACATACAAGAAGAAAGAATGTATTCATTCAAAAGAAAGACATACAAGAAGAAAGAATGTATTCATTCAAAAGAAAGACATACAAGATGAAACGGCAAGAATTCTAAAAAAACTATTTCACATCATTGCCGCCTTTCTAATGAAAGGTGGGAGATGATCAAAGGTTAAAAGAAACATTATCAAGTTCATGAGCTTTCCTGGCTAGAGAGCTTGCCATGCTAATTACATCTCTGTAAACAAAATTAAGTGAAACATTCCAACTTCTATTAAACAAGTCGCATGCACTCTTGATGATATCTTGGAAAGGGTGACTGATATTATGCTCTCTGGTTATGAGATTGATGGCTTCAATACAGAATGAATAAACTTCAACATTCTTAAAACATTAAAAACTAGACACGAATAATTCTAACCACCAAATAAACAGGGGACAATAAATCACCACACATGCACAACAATGCTGTTATTATCATTCTCAAATCATTAAATTCACACTACTTTCGCACCTATCTTGACACACTAATTTTTCCACGAAGAAAAATAAAACTCCATTGTTTTTCATACTAAATTATATAAGAAGTGTGATAGAAGGCATGGATAAGACGGATCTAGAGCATCGTTTGCCATGCACATGCACGTACACGGACCTCATCACGATGGAAGTAGGTCCATCTCAGACATAAGCACTTGCGAACCGCATCACAAGAAAACACTCTTCCCTACTTCAAAACGCAAATATACCTTACAGTCACAGTACCTAGCAGACTAACTTTCGTCTAAAAGTAGCTTTAGAGAAATGAAGTAAAATTTTGCGCGTTACCCAAAAAATATCCTATTAACAACCACAAAAATAAGCAGCATGTTTACCTTCATCATCATTATCATCAAAATCATCACCCATTCCTCCGTCACCCATCCCACCAAATTTCTGCAGCATGCAAAATTAATCAGAACATCAGAAAGAAGAATACGAGTGAAAGCAAGAACCAAATGAGTACATTGCATACCGAGAAGTCCATTCCTCCCAAATCCAGGTCACCAAGACCTAATCAACAAACAAGGAGATTACTTGATCAGTCGATGCTTTGCAGTTTAAAAGCTTTATATAACTTAAAGGAACTCTAAGAAGAATGACATGGTTAATAGGTGAGCATACCATTATCATCATCCTCATCAACCCATTTATCCCAATCTACTTTTATGTAATGAGGAGCCTTGCCTTCTCCCCGCAATAACTTCTTCCACCATCCATCTTCCGCCTTCTGTACTACACAGAATATGTTTCTCACCCCTATATTAATTTTGCTCTCCTGAAAAAAATAAAAGGAAGCAATCAAGTAACGGCATTAAAATAATCAACCAAGAACCATTACAAGGAGAGAAGAAGGATAAAATAATGTACAGAGACAAGCAGAATAGAAATTCAAACTACATAGATCAGACTAGCCAAAAGAAAGGGATCGCATGTATTCAAACTTGGGGAACACACAAGGCTTGTATAGTTGGATATTTTAAGGTTCAAGCTCAGCTCATGTTAAAAAGAAAACAAGTGTACCTACAAAAACCCAATGCCAGCGACAGGAAATCCATTCTCACCTCTACATTAACCTTGCCAAAGAGTTCCAATTTCAGCTCGTAAAGGTGATTTTCTGCCCCACCACTAGCGGAGAAAGTAAAAACGCCTTCTGGAGCAAGATCCACTTTTGCATTTTTAGCATCAGGCAACTGCACTGTGATATAGACCTTGTCTGACCGCTGAGCCCATTTGACCTCAGGATGACGACTGCGTCACAAAGAACACAAATAATATAGACAGAAGAAAAAATGAACTACTATCAGGAATTGTTGCAAGAAAAAGAAAATCCGCCAAGCTCTCAAACTGCTGTAAGCATTCGTCGTGTGCCCAAAAAATAATAATTACAGTGAACCCCACTGGCCTATAGTACCAGAGTCAGCCCAGTTCCATGACTCACACAACCCTTTCGCACTTTCATTCCTCCAATCGGATAGGGGAATAAACATTGCATGAAACGATAAACAGGCCGACTAGTAACACGGCCAATTAAACAAAAAAAAATAAGCGAAAGAAATAAGGAAGAGCGGGTGTGAGAGAGAAATAAAACACGCTCAAATTCAATCGCTAATGATGTGCTTACACGTTCGCCTCAGAACAAACTCAGCAGAAGAACCTAAATTCAGCAGCACAGAAAAACAGATGCCCCTCTTTCGCCCAACTAAAGACAATCTTAGGAAGAACAAAACAATTCGTTTATTCATTTCAATTAGTTCACTCATTAATGAAATGCGGTTCATCAGCCAGAAAATACAAGCCCCCGCATATCATAAGCATATTTTACGAAGTAGAGCATGCAACGAAGGCGGCATAATTTGTCCAGAAGACCAAGAAAAAAATATCAGAGGGTTGAAGATTTAAAAAGCAGATAAAATCTAGCATTGATAAGCATTTACCTCATACTAACTATAAGAAGCGGGAGAATAAGCTAAAATCCCTAAACAGCGGCAATAATGAAACCCCAAGTGTTCTTTTCCCGACACTGAGGTAAATGTCGAGAATATAAATATTGGGACACACTTCTAGTACTTTCCCTCTGGTTTCTAGAATATGCTAATTAATTATGTAAGTGACCAAGCTCATGGTGCCAATAGCTACCCCCCCAAGCCCAACCCCAGCCACGGGGCTACGTAGGTAATTGCAAAATCAAGGGTTGCTAATCTGCAAATCTTAACCGGACCAAACGGCATAAACTCTGGTGCTGAGGATGAAACTTCAGTCCTTTCAAATTTCAAGCTTGCGCAGCTCTGCTTGCCCCAAAAAAAAAAAAACAGCTTCTAGTGGCCATTAAGGTCCAACTCCAATGCCATATTCTGAAGCACAGTATACTTTGGACGGCACAGGCCTGGCCCATTTGGCGCACTGGTAAACCCATCCTTCTATTCTCATGGCTTGCCTAGGTGTGGGGTCCAGCAAAGAGCGGACAAAAACGATGTCGTCAAATGCCGGACCGGCCTGCTTAACCCTAAAACGGTAAAACCCTCCATAAGCCGTTGGCGCTAATTTCCCCCGATTCAGGAAGTGAGGCAATGGGAGGGTCGCGAAGAAAATTGAAGCGATCAAAGCCAAAGGTGCGGGTGGGACTGCCAAAGAAGAAGCCAGGAGTATTCAAGCCTACGTCTCATCTTCCTCCAAAGCTTTTGCACTCCTTGGCTGACAGAGACCCTAAATGGGACGACAAAGGTAGCGTCATTCACAATTACAAGTCCTTTGGCGTCGTCTCCAATCCCAACTTGCTCAGCGTTCGATCTCGTACTCCTCATATTGTGGAAAGCGATTCCCTTCAGGTTCCCCTTCCTTCTTCCGCCACCGATGATGCTCCCGCCGAATCTGAGCTCCTCGATTCCGGAAGCGACCTCGAAGAAGACGGTCAGTCAAATATTCCTTTTATTATATATATATTATTTATTAAATTTTCAAAACCATGATTCGCTCTCCCAGTCCGTCTGTGCATTTTTCAGGTATAAACAGGTATTTTACTTTCGTGCTTGCATATAACTATGAGGCTATAAAATACAAATCAACTCTAAAATATCTGTGTATAACAAACGGGAAAAATCCATCTTTAGTAAACATACAATTGTGCAAGTTTAGTTCTGAGATTTTCTCCATAACAAACTTTGACTTATTTTTAAGAAGTCCGCGAGGGGCTGGAGGGTCTCTTCCCAACCCCAACGATTATAATAAAGCTTTGAGGACTCTAGAATTCAAGTGTAATGTTTAAGCTACCATTCTGTAGTATAGTAAAACTGAGGATTTTGCTCCCTCGTAGAGGTCTCTAACCCACTGTTGAAAATTAACAACTGTTGATTGCAGTGATATGTCATATGCTTGAGTGCCGTATGCCGTAACTCATAAGCCTACTTTCTTATTATTAAGTACTACCTCCGTTCCTTAATAGTTAATATATATATGCTCCAATCCATTTTGTCTTATATTTATCGATTTTTTGTTCAAAGTACACATGTTAATCCACTTTATTAGCAAGTTTATTCCAGGAAAGATAACACATATCTACTACAAATAATCAAGTTAATAAACTTTCTTAATCTATTTAAATTAGGCAACTAGCTTTTTACATGAAGAACCAGGTAGTATTACAAATTACTAAATATCTAAACTGTTCATGAAGATCCCTGATGCCTACTCCGCTGAGCATAATTCAAAACCTTCGAAATTTAAGGCATCTTCCTTGAATCTAGACACTTTATGATGATGAGATCATTTTAATTACTACTGTTGGAACCTGCTCGGCAAAAGCTGAAATGACATGATGCAACGAATAAGTTGAAAATTTTGGATGTTCATTTTGTTGGTTGTTTTGCACATAAAATTGTTAGTTATAGAAGCAGGGAGAGAATAAAAACGCGAATGAAATGGATGGGAAATTCCTCATCAGAACAAGGAATGATGAACATTGCAACAATTAGTACTTTTTCCTCGCCCTTTCTATTACGCAACCTCGTGGCCGTCACAATTCTAATCTATTGTATTAGATGGACAATATTTTCATTTTCCTCTCTCTCTATCATGTGCGGACGAGTAAAAATTATGACCTGTTCTTAATTAAGCCGTCTCCCCTTTGAATCTATTTAGCTGAAGTTCAAGCTGCTCTTCAACCTAAGGAGCACCTACGCATGGTTTTCTGAGTCTATGTCTTTTCTTTGAATCATGTAGACTTGAAATCAGCCTTGGGAAAGAAGCGAAGGGATGGAAAAAGTGCACCACCTCAACCTTTGACAGCAATGCAGCGGCTTCATATTGGACGACTGATAGATAAATATGGAGATGATTATCAGGTTTGGTGTTTGCTTTTAGTTCAAGACAATTACAACTTGAAAGAGATATCGGGGCTTACATGATTATCGTCTATTTTTGGTCAGGGTATGTTCATGGATATGAAGCTAAATCCCATGCAGCATTCAATTGCCACTCTACAGAAACTCTGTGAGAGGTACCATATGTATAAAAATAAGAATCCCCTGCTTGTGGCTAATTCTTAAATACTCTGGACTACCGGCATGACTATGAAACGTGTATCCCTGGATGACATGCTGAAGCTGCATTTGGACCTGGGGATGTTATATTCGCTTCGGATCAGCCAAATTTTGTGACAGAGAGGACGTGCTTTTAATTATTATGTATTTTTCAATCGTTTGGATATTTTAAATGGTACTGGGTTATCACGAAATCAAGTCATCAAATATAATGTATGGGCACAATTCGGTGCGCACGCGCGAAGATGATGCATGCCGTACTTACTATCGGAGGTTGTAAAATCTTGGTAGTGTAACTAAAGATGGACAAGTCATATTCAGTTAAACCTTATCAAGCCTTATTGTCAACTATTGTTAAAGTGACATTTATCATGCTTCAATTAAATTAAAAACAGAATATTTCAATTGATTGGGACATATTTTATCAATCACCTCGGCTTATGTTCCATCCAAGTGAAAGGTTGGTGTGTGGAGAGTGATAAGAGCTTTGGAGGCTGAGAAGCTTTGCAGGTAGAAAGAGTTGTAAGAAATTCCTTGTATAATACTAGTGATACCGCTAGGGTTTGTCAGCTGAATCAGGCAAAGCTAACATAGTCTGATATCCAAAACTTCAGTCTAGGTAAGGCCACTCATTCTCAACTCATCAACAGGTCACATTTGGATTCTCAGTTTTGAATACCAGATCTAGGATAACTGGAAAAATTGTCACTAAACTCTCTTCATGGATTGTGGTTAGATTTTATTTTTAATGCACAGAATCCTTTTAAAGAAATAAGTGCAGAACATACTTTGAATCTCTTGAGACAGAACAAAGACATTATAAGTGAGGCTTTCAGAAGAAGAAATTTAGAGAGAACTCATGAGAAAAGCATACTAGTATTATATAAGGAATTTCTTATAACTCCTTCTGCCTGTAATTGGAGGCAAAGTAGGGTTTATATAAAGGCTCGGGGTCATAACATGACACATCCTAATAGTAACTCTAATAGTAGAAGTCATTATGATGGGTAGGTGTCATTATGACGATTTAATATAAAGGTAAGAACGCTTTAAATACACAAGTACTCTTGCAACTATTCTAATAATGACAACCACTTTAATTATTACAAGAAGATGAAATACACAACAGGATAAACTATTTTAATAAAGCAAAAGTAGATTGTGACATAAAGTAAACTTCTAGCAAGTCCTACTTATCTTGTTGATGATAGTGTCTACCATAAGCTTTTGCAAATCCCAAATAAAATGACTATTTATATGAAAATTGAAAAGGTCGTCTTATTCAAAACCCGATTAAAAGTCTAGATCCAGATAGTTGGAACAGAACAAGATCCAAGGGCCATTACAAACTGACTTTTACTGGAGTAATTTGTTTTTATTTTTGGAAGAAAAGTAATTTTGCCTATGCATTTGCTAATACTAATCCGAACTAGCGTGTTTGCTTATTATCTTTACCCCAGAGTCAGTAGCCATCCTTTTACCAAGAATGGGTTAAAACCACTATCCTTAACATTTCTGAGCTTACAATACATTACATTATTCTGAATGTTATTTAAAAATAAAATAAAATAAAATAAAAAAATTGACCGTGATTATAGGCATCGGCCTGAGATTAACATAGAATTCCGGAATGGACAAGCCGATGGTTAGACGCCCACAAATGCCCTGCACTGCGATTCCCAATGCTCTTTTATTTGCTTAACTCTCTCAACCCTCTCTATCTGAAGCCTTTGTTCCCAGTATCCCTTGCAGCTGTCAAATTATACAAATAAAGTCAGGCAATTGCACCAAGGTGGTGATAAGACAGGTTCACAAGAGCCTCATTCTTCCCTTGCTACGCCGCCTAACAGTTTGCAGTTAAGCTACTTTCCTAGTGGTCCCCTTTCTCACTTTCCCCAGTCCTACCCATGGAAATGCTTGACTATAAACTATAAATCAAGTGGGACCATACCTTCGGCCTAACAGAATATTTAATTCTTCCAAGTGCACAGCACCTTGATAGACTCCTCCCTGCAATCAAGAAAAATAAAATTATGTATGTTACCTTTGCTCCAATAATTATGAGTGATTCATGGAGAGGAAAATAAGAATATGATGGACTGCAGTTGCAGATTCTCAATCAGTTCCTATTTTATGGTCGAAGCTAAGATTAGATCCAACCATAGCGGCAAGATGATTCCTAAAATAAGCAAATCATTGGAAGATCGAAACAAACTAACCCAAACGACAGAGAACTGAAAATGTTCGGTTTAAACTTACGCCAAAAGCATCAGCCAGTTGCAGTTTTTTGGCCATTTGTTAAAAAGAGTTGATCATACGGCACTCCAATACAACAATTTCAGTGACTAGACTTGAGATCAATACCATCCATTGGCTCTTACGATCAGTAATGGATGAAATTATCAGTAATAGACAAGCATATGATACCCTAATAATCAAGTGAAATCGCCTTTGTATATTCCTGTCACAAGTAACGGAGATGTGGGAAGACTCGCTAATACATTACGTACAGCTTACCACTCGGCACAGTGGACATTTTGCATTAGAATTTGCTGCTTTAACTCCGTCAACAATAGTTACTGATGCAGATGAGCAAGCACACATGTAGCAGAATATGTGGCCACAAGTAAGACAAACTGGATCAAATACAGTGTCCTGTCACACAAACCAGATTAATATTATCAATGAAAGATGAAATCGAAGGTGGGGTCCCAGAGCACAAAGGCTGAATGCCTCGAGGGTGAGAGCTATTGGCAACCATTGTGGCGGTCTGGATTTTAAACTAAGTTAAGAAATAAGCTACTTAGATAAATAAACCCCCCCCCCCCCGGGGGCGGGGGGCAGAATCATAAACTAAATTTTCAGTTCCAAGTCTCATCAGCAGAATTTGCTCCAATATTCCTATCTGTGCTGCAGATATATAGTGTAAATAACCTCGATGGATGTTCAGTCCAAGCTTGACATTCATAATGTGAGTAGTGAATGAAAGCCCCAGTAACTTACCAAGCATATAGAACACGTCAAGTCAATATCAAGTTTGATGGAATCAAATGGCTCACAAGTAAGTGATGGTTTATCATCCTTAAATGTGAGGGAACATGTATGAAAGAAAGCAGGTGGCTTCTTCATTGACTTGTTCTTGCTTTCCCTTAAATTGATGTGGAAGGCCATGAGCTCACAAAGCCAGGGACTCTGAAGAATTTCTATGTGCATACTCTGTGCTCGTGACTTGAATAATTGTCCTTGCTTTGAATAATGAATCTGCACTGACAGTGATAGCAAAAAAGAACATAAAGAACATCCAGCAATATAATATACATATACATACATATATATATATATAACATCAGCCATAATTTTCACCTTGATTTTTAAACCATGAAAGTAGCAAGCTCATGAACGCTAGGACAGGCATACCTTATCATATTTCTTGAGTATCTTTCTGATTGCAATGGCATTAATTAGCGCATAAATAACCAGGTCTTTGCCTTCTTGAACGAGGGCAGTTTGTTTTCCACGTAATTTGCCTTTGAACCAGAAAAAGGACTTTCTGAAGCCAGAAGCGAGATGGAGCTTTAACAAATTTTGGGCACGCTCATTAAAGCAACCTACTACTGCAGTCATCCCGTTGAGAAGGGAAGGGAAGAAGCTTCCATCACACACTGAATAGTTATATTGGATTAGCTTATTGTCAGTAACATGAATAAACCCCTCTCTCCCCATTTAGATCATCAGATCTTTCATAACAGGATCTAAAATCCTTCGGGGCTTCTTTATAAGAAATAAGCATATGATGAATGCAAGAGCAAACAACAGGAGGTTGATGTTTACCCGCATTGAGATTTTAATTTTTAGGCTTCATTTATTATTCAAAGATCAGGCCCTAGAGACAAGCTTATCGGTCCAACAAGTACAATGACAGAGAAAAAGCCTCTAAATCACAATGCATGACTATGACAGACATCCGAGGCAAAAAAAAAAAAAAGGTTCGAGAGTATCCGAGAACCTCGGGTTCTAAAAGGAATATCAAATTGCTAACAATTGTTATTGATTCTCACTGTGTATTTGGGCTATAACATTGCGAGAGAATATGATTGAGATATAACCTTTAGAAGTTACAAGTGAAAACGATGCCAAATGGAAGAACCCAGGTATTTTACTTTTTTGTTGTTGGTCCAGAAGGATACCTGTCTTAAAATCTATGAATTCCTTTCAACAAGGACCTTGGGAGAGACGATATAACTAGTCTTGCAACAAATCAGTAGAACGGATTCATCAAAGCTCTTAAAGCGTCAAACTGGAAAGAAAAAGAGAAAAAGAGAGTGAATGGAAGAAAGAGAAGTATCAGATAATTACCTGGGCACTGGTCGCTGCAGGTTCGGACGCCAATGGCCTCATTGAGGCCTTTGCGGGATCGGCAGTCTCCGCTGCATTTTTTCATTATCTTCTTGAGCTTTTTGATACCAACTCCCGGAAGTTGCTTCTGCTGGCCTTGCATGTACTCCTCGTATTTCTTGCAGAACTTCATATTTTAATGAGCAAAAATGTCTACTGTGCGATTCCGATTCGTTCGAGCTATGAATCACCCTGAAGCTAATGTGCGGATGCGATGACATTGATTGGGATGTAATCGTGAAAGTTGGTCGCGGAGAGAGAAGCGAGGTTTGTGGCCCCTCTTTATCTGAATTCTTCCTCCCCGGCTTACGCTGACGGGGCGACGCGTGCAAATTTTGAGGCGAGGAGGTGACAGCATCCGAATATCCGATCCTCACTCTGAAAAACTCACATTGGTATTTTATGAAAATTAACTAACAATGGGCCCGTCGTTAAGGAAGGTGCCAGAATTATGAAATTGAAAAAGAATGCAAGTAAGCGGATTTAGTTTTATTTTTTTAAAAAGTCACCAATTGATTGCTTTTTAAAAAAAAAAATCCAATCACCATTTAACTAAAATTAAATGGGGAAGAAAAAGAGTCGGTAGCTGTTGTCCAAAAATGGAGGTTGGGCGGGGAGGTTCTTGTGATTTGGCAGGATCCCACATGCGCGCCAAAAGGCAGATGACGAAACGGGATAAGCAACCAAAATAGGATTGGGGGATTAGCGACCACAGGTGCTTCTGAACGTAAAGAAAGTTTTGTTTTAACTTATATGAAACTTATTTATAAACACTTAAACAAGTCAATACAAATGAGTAATAGGAAGCTTGCCTGCCCATTTTACACACAATTATCGTGGAGATTTTTATATCGCATTATTCATATTTTATAAATAGTAAAGCGTACTATATAAAGAATGATTGAGAGAGCCGGAAACCCAAAAAAAAAAAAAAAAAGCATTTGATTCAAGCCAAAGTGACGAAGATGATATATGCTCATAATTCAACACGGGGCAACTTCTCTCATATAGTGAATTTAGCACTGACTGCTCCCTTAGTTCGTAATACTCGCTTGAAAATACGAAGAAAGAGCCTCCTCACTTTTACAAGTGGACGCTTGGCGTATGAGAGCATTTTGCTGAGCTTTGATCCTTTGTACCAAACCCAACTCTCGAAGTCTTTGTTCCTGTCCATAATCACATAATGTGGGACTCAGGAGAGGTTTCTTTTCATCCACATGGCCCTATTATTTATTCAGGGAAATCCCATGTCCAGTTATGTAGGTTCAATGCGGAGGAGAACAGAAGCTCGTTGGGAGTTCCTCGACGGCCTAAACAAGATCCCTTGTTTTGAGTGGGTGGCCCACTCATGTTTGTCGGCCACTCCCTGCGCATATCTAATGTTTGTAAATCAGCAAATGTTTGTTTTTCACGTTTTAGCATATCTAATGTAAAAAAACGAGGTGAGTCGAGAAAATACAAATTAACACTTGCGATTAATCTCAGCATTGTTGTTGTCAGGTAGTGATTGCTGGCGTTGTCAGTTATGAACTTTGCTTCCAGAATCCAGATTACTTGCCTCTATATTATTTAATATTTAATCAAATTTTACACAATAGTCTCACTATGAATTATAGATTACTATCATCTACGTTTTATCTATCAAGCAACACATAAACATGACGCGAACAATTAATTTTCCTTTTGATCTTACAAACACTTACCACAATTTTATGTAAAACTATAAAAAAAAAAAAAGAAGAAATAATTCTTATACAATACATAAAATTTTACTTTCTTCTCTGTGCATGTTTTTCTTTTCTTTTTCGCCGAGAAAGAAACCAGCAAAAGCAAGGAAATGACGGGATAAAGAATTTACTAAGCTTTGTGGATAAATTCAAGGTTTCTGACTAAGGGTGTGTTTGGGTGACACCCCAAACCATGGTTTGGGGTGTCAATCACCCAAACACCCCCTCTAAAAACCAAAACCATGGTTTTGGGTCAAAACCATGGTTTTGACTCCAAAACCATGGTTTTGAAAAAAACAAAATTTTTTTGCTTTTGGAGAAAAAAGGGAGAGTGTGAGAACCTATATGATATGTATCTTGTTATTTTTTTTATAAACATATTTTTTGATAAACATATTTAATCTTATATTTTATAAATATATATACACATTAATTATTTATTAATTATATTATCTTATGTATTATTAATTATGTTGGTAAAAAATATATTATTAACAATTTTATTCCTTCAAATTAAAATATATCATAAAATCTATTTTTTTCTGTAATTATCATATTAACTTATGTCTTTTTTTTAGTAATTTGTATATATAAAAAGTGCTTCTGATAATAACTATCCAAACACTCTCACTTCTCAGAATCACTTTTTTACAAAATATATTCTTCACAAAATCTATTCTCCTCAAAATCTATTCTCCAAAATCACTTTTTCAAACCACGGTTTGGTTTCATCCAAACACATCCTAAATTCAATAGCGGAGGCGGTGGTTGGCGGCGCACACCTCCTCTGGTCCAGACAACGTGTGCTTATTACCTGTCCCAGTATCCTAGGAATGTGCCCCGAATGGGGATGCCTCGCTTCATGTATGGATTCTAGGTCCATAGCAAAACACCAAACCTCATATTGATTGGATCAGGTTCACAACAGAAAGCCGATCGACGATGGCGGAAACAGTTTTCTCACTGCTTCCGGATGACGTTATTCTACACATCTTCCTTTATCTCCAAGACGATCCCCGACACTGGGCTCGCCTCGCCTGTGTCTGCACCAAATTTTCCTCCTTTATTCGCAATTTTTGCTGCAAAATCAAGTGCTCTCATACAATCCCTTCCGTCGTCTCCGATCTTCTCTTCGATTCTTCTGTTCCGCCCGGTGGCTGGGCTTCTCTGCAAAAGCTCGCCGTCTGCTGTCCCGGCCTCCTTCACGCCGGCGTTCCCTTAGAGAGCTCCGATTTCGGGCTGGAGCGTGAGTTCGGCCAGGATGAGGGTTACCAGCGATCGCCTTCCCCGCACGCAATCACACCTTCCCAAGAAATCTTCACCAATCGATCGAATGGTTCTTCAGATGTGGGTGCGTCTGGTTCTAATTCTCACTGGTCTCTATGTGATTATCTGTATAATGATACCGTCTATAATGCTTCTGAATCCAAAGATGGTCCGGAACCCCAATTATTTGAAGAGGCTGGGAAAGGCGCTGTCAAGGTCGATCGGGAATTCTCTTCGTGTAAAAGAAGGAAGATTTGCATATCCCTGAGGTCGCGGTCGCATTTGGCTTCTGGAATATGGAACTTGAGCAGAGAGCAGGGGAACAAGCTGCTTGCTAGACAGTTTCGAGATGATTGTCTGTATATTTGTGATTGGCCTGGCTGTCTGCACAGCGAGGAGAAGAGAAACTACATGCTATTCAGAGGAATTTTCAAGAATTTTAGGCGGACCAGGGTGTGGAGGACAATCAACGATGGGAATCGGAAAAAGATTGCTCTGTGTTGTGCCTTTTGCCAATGCAAGGAGACTTGGGATTTACATTCTGCATTCTGTTTAAGGCGATTTTTCGGATTCCATGACGATGGCGAACCAGTTGTTCGAGCTTATGTTTGTGAAAATGGCCACGTCTCTGGAGCATGGACCGATTTGCCGTTATATGCTTGATGCCAAGTATAAGTTTTAAATTGGTGCTGTAGTTAGGTTGAAGGTTTCCTCTTGAATTCCTGATTAGTTGTCTAATGATATGCTAGTTCAGTATAGATAATATGCTGTTTGGATTAGTAAGTGATTAGTATGCGCAAAGCTTGTGCAAGCATTATGTTACAATTCTTACATTTATTATGCACTCATTCTTTCTCTGTGCCTTTGCTCTCCGTTGTTTTAGTTCCCATGCCCTGGTTCGTTTCTAATGTAAATCGTTTTGTGGGTTTGGCGGACTGATTAGTGTTTCTTCGCATTCTGCACAATTTCAAGCAATCTGTCTGATTTTTGTAGAGTACGAATTTGGGGTTCGTATCAGATTGCAAATCTAGCTTGCAATTGAGTCTAGCTGTTTGCATGGTTTTACTCTCCACCCGTGAGGTATCATTCTGAGCTGTGCGACGTGTCAAATCGTCATGTGCTTCTTATTGCTCGGCTTAATTCACAGTAGTATTATGGTTGCTAGTTTTGTTCATTGTTATTGCTTGTCTCTCTAGTGGTCATCTTGCTAGAGGAAGAGGAGTTGTGTAAACGGATATTTGTTTATGGTTGCCATTGGGGCTTTTTAGTTTTGAGTCTTCTGAGAGTCACTTATTTGGTTTTGTCTGAATATTTGAAAGCTTATTTGATGAGAAATAGATGCTTTTAACTTGTTTGTAGAGGCAAGGTGTTGAACTACTGCCTTGCAAACTTTTTTCACTTGATACCTTGCAGTATATCTCTGTATTTACTTACTTCGCATGTTATGCTCACATAAAATCTCTATTCTATGTAAGTTTTTTTTTTTAGGGCTTTACGGGGGTGTTTGGGTAAAAACAAAACCATAGTTTTAGAAGTGCTTTTACAATATACGAAATAAATATATAGAGAAATTTATCTCGATTTGTAAAAAGTGATTCTGAAAAGTGATTTTGGGATTACCCAAACACCCCTGCAATTGATTGTCCGTTGATTCGTGGCTGGGGCCAGATTGTTTTACAGAACGTACAAAATGAAAGAAAAATAAAAGGAAATCATAGAAGAAGAAAGAAAAGAAGTGGCGTGTGATATAATGTAAATTTGAGACAAAAAAAAAAGATGACTTGTCAAGGGTGACTTGTTCACAAGAATGCATTGGAGGAGTGCTGGCTGCTTTGAGGCACTATTGTATGTGCTAGTTAAGATGGAAAAGGTGTGGTGTTGCATGACAGCGTAGTGGCGGGTTTTGTAGTACAGGATTCACAATTTATATACTACCTCCATTTTTTAATACAAAAATTAACTAACTAATTTAAATAGATTAAAAAAATTAATTTTGTAATAAATAAGTATTGTCATATATATTAATTAAAATTATTATTTGATAAAACATTTAATATGTACAATACTATGAGGACTATTTTTTAAAAAAATCAATAAATATAAAAGACAATAAATTAAAATCATATATTTAGAATTAAATTGAAAATCAAACTAATTTTTTTATTGAGAATTAAAATTACCATAATATGTTCAAAATATAATACCAACATCCATACCACGCACATGAGTAGAACTTCATTATGCTATTTTGATGGAAAGGTTAAAGTGCTTTATGAGCTTCTTCCTTCTCACATTTTCAAACTTCTATCCTATGTTTGGTACCAGGAAATTAGAGTGCAAGAGGAAAAAATTTGAGTAAATTCAATTTAAAAAATTGAAAAAATGAGATTATAAAATTTTGGTGAAAAGAAAATATAAAATAAAATAGCAATAAAAATTAATCACAACCTCACTTCTTCCATTTTTTAAGTCAAGCTCATTAAAATTTTTCTTTCCCTTTGCTCATGCCAAACAGAAACCTTAAAATAGCAATATTAAAGCTTCAATTCCTCTGTCAGAAGGCATGAACTATATTACACATTCACTCTGCGGAGCATTGTCCATTTTTTACTTTATTGCAAATAGAAAATAGGCCATCAACAACGGAGGAAGTTAAAAGCAACGCACATATGACATCCATAAATGCCAATTCGATCAAAATAACAATTTCACCACAACTTATTCTGAGAGTCAAAACAGCAATTAATCACTAGCGCTAGTGATGTCCGCCCACACTCTCACCCTCCTGACCCTGCCGGGCAGCAGCTCTTATTTTACGCTGCTCCTCCTTGTAAATCCGATTTCTTCGTTGGAACTGCAGTTAAGATACAGATATGCAATAAAATCAATATAAACAATAGATAAACTGCTAGGAGGCTTGCTTTTTAAAAAAAAAAAAATCTTTCACCATTCTTGCCAAGGAAGCTATATTTTGCTAGTTAAACCATTACAACTAATAAACTTTTGCCCTTGATTTTTGGTTCCTCCTATTCTCAAAGCAACATTAGTGTTGTGGATATAAAGCTTGATAAATTGAATAGGCCACCGAAAGTTGAAAATTGATTCAAGCACGACATCCGCATATTGGCATGCTAAATGAAACAACAAGCTTAACAAAATAAGGCAATTGGCTTTGGCCACTTAAAAGCGTCAAAAGAACAATTTCAAATTTGTCATTTTCAATAACTGCAAGCCAGCAAGTGTCTTGGTCCATCATATACCATCATATTGTCTTCGCATTCGTGTCATGCAAGATATCTGAGTGGCAAAATGTGTCCAATTTCTAATCATAAGTTTATAGATCACACACACTACGTATGAGAGGAGTTCAACAGTCCATATGAAAGGACCTCAGTACTGATTATGTCATTAAATAGCATGATATGTTAAAGTATAAAAGAAGTAGGACGGATCAACACAGTGACAACAGAAGAATTCAATTTCAAACGTGTCGAGTTTCCAAAAAAACAAATTATAATATGGTTGTCGACAAAGGCATTGTATTTCAACTCCTAATAATTATGCCTAGAAGGTAAACTACTTGAAAGAAAACATAAGGGGCTTGGATAACTTTTAAGCAATTTTGCCAATAATTGATATCTCAATTACCTTCAACACATAAATTTAGCTATAGGAAAATGAATGTGCCACAAAATGACAAGTTTAAATCAGTATTTTAGTCTCAAGTTTCTTCTCTATACTGATCATGAGAAAGGCTGCAACTACGAACTTCAGAAGCAAACATCATTAAATGTAAATGCATGGCAATGAAAAGAAGCATCTGGAACTCAGAATGCCCCCACCAAATGTTTCCAAACAAATATGTTGCGATATAGGATGCTTAATTCCACCCCCTCCCCCAAAGAAAAAAGTGGAACTAAAAAGCTCTGTAAATTGTTGTTGGAGGTCAACGATGTCCAGATCAGGGAATCAAGCTTTCCAGATAAACAATACGTAAATTGCCGTTAGAGTCCAACATCACCCAGCAACAGAGAACCAAGGTTTACCGACAAGCAGATACAGTGAACAAAGGTTTTTCCCCGCAAAAGATGGAAGTAGAAATTGAACCCTTGTCACCATACATGCGTTAATTTTAACGGAGTGTAAGGAGCTCAGCATATCCAAACTAAGTAGCAGTTTGTAGGCTGTCTTTTTCGTGTATACTCCAGTAGTAGTTTGATATCATTTGGCACCGGGGCAAGGGATTGTCTTATTCATTTTAAACACGATTTGGCTAACCAAAGAATTCAGGGTATAAAAGATTTGTTTTCCCGGCCAACAGAAAGATAAAGTTCAGCATTTTTATACATACTATGCTTCTTCGAGTAAAATCAAGGAATTCTTATCGAAGAAAACTATCTCTTACTTTTGATACTTCTCAACAATTGTAGGATCCAGAGTCCAGACGTAGCATCTATTTACGTTACTCAAACCAATGCATATTACCCGCATATGTCTAGTTAAAGGAAAAACGTGTATGTCGCCAATTGCTATAATAATGCAATGAGTGCATCAATGACATAAATTAGTGGATAGAAGGAATAAATCGTAACCAATCAAGATTCTACTCAACGTCGACGAAGATCGATCCGGTCGGCAGACGATTTTTATACATCGATTAGGGTTTTCAGAAACAAGAGAAATCAGTTGATGTTGAGCAATGCTACTATACGCAACCAATCAATCTAGCGGAAAATGCGTTTGCTAATGTAATCATAGAGAGATGGGCAGGTTAACCTCTTTAGAATGGTGGAGGCACTCGAGGTAGTCTTCACGGAGAAGAGCACAGTCCTTGGGTTCTCGGCAGCGAGACATACACTCGCTGAAGTCGATCCAGAAGTCGTAGCAGCGACCTTTGTTCCCAGTAATTCCCCACCCTGATGCCATCGCGGTGTCCTTCGGTTTGTATCAGCCCTCGCCGTAGACTATTGATTCCGCGGCTGAACGCTATAATCAAAAAGTGATTCGCGGTTCGGAGTTCACAGTTCAGACGAAATTACCAAAATGCCTGTTTGTGCCGAGGTCTGGGGGAAGGATGACCCGATCGGGCGTTAGCGAAGGGGATGGGCGGATTTTTTTTTTTTTTAAGCATTCATAATTTAGCTATTTTAACTTTGGATTTATTTCTAAATATAAAATCTTAAATAAAAATAGCAAATAGGTCAGAAATATACTCTAATAATTAAAAAATGAAAGAGAATATACCGAAAAATCAATGAAAAAAGGTGTGGCTAATGAGAAAGAACAAACAAATGAGTAAAAAAATTTTAAAAATAAATAAATATTGAGATAGATTCAAATTAAAATTTATAAAATGAACCATATTCCTTTTCAATGATTAAGTGACTCTTATATTTAGAATGATATTGATAATTACCGTATCATAAAAAAAATGTGACCATCAAAAGGTTTTCATAATAGCTACAATGTAAAAAATGATAATAAATTTATATTATCTGCTGCTCAATTATTATTGAGATATTTTGATAATTACATCCTTTCACAGCACCTCGTAATAATCTTTCATGTTAAAAACCATATCAGCATGAGAGATGTTTAGGCTAAGTATCCTAGTCAAGGCGCAAAAAAGGCTTCGGCCGGCTAAGATAGAATGAGGGGTAAAACTGATGAATTCGGGGACGGGATATGTCATTGGCTGAAAATGCACCCCAAGACTCATCTCGCATCAGGCTGCAAACCCAGGGTTCTTGTACATCCCCAGTTAATATAACGAGAACCACTTACCTTGCGTTACCTAGTGTTAATCACACGTTCGCACAAGTTGGATTCAGTAAAATTTCTATACATGTCTTGTATTTTTACTGGTGATCACACGTTGACACATTGATGATGAATGAGTAACATGCACAAAAATATTTAAATTAAAATACTTAGTGGAAAATTTATTCTGCAAAATAACGCATGTTAATGTGAACAATAAACAGAATAAATAATGGGTGCAACTAGTCAGTCCATTGCACTCCCAGCCATGTATAACAACTATCTAGATAATTTAAAAGTCATAACAATATATATGTTACAACATTTTTCATGTCCTCTGCAAACGAGTTCAAAAAATGTATTTAATACTCGACATTCTCGCCAGCATGAGGAAGCAAGAAACCACAATGACACGCGGCCTGAGAAGATTCACCTTATGAGCTCCTTGTGAGGTTCCCTTTCGGCTTTACCTGATATAAATCACCTGTGAAAAAAGGATCATGAAAAACTAAGTTTTGAGAGAAGAAGACCAGAGACATGAAACTAATAGAACAGAGGTAGGTCTGAGGGTCAATCGTAAATTTGGGAAGCCTGTGTAATACTTAACTCGTTATTTGATCACCGTAATACTGCTATTCTATGACATCAATCAATCGAGCATCTAAATCAACTAGCTCGTGAAAGACATTGACATCTTAATTTGATTAGTTTGACACATCGAGTGACTATTGACTACCGTACTATTATCAATCATTAAACAGCCAATATAATGGGTACTACTTATGGTTTTTAATACAGAAGTTTGTTTGGTTTTTATTTTTGTCCTAATAATAATAGTAGTTTTGGTCAGTCCATATTGTTTCTAATATTTATTTATTTTTTTAAGACAGTCATCATAACAATAATAATTCTACCCAATATATTTGTTTAGTAAAAATATTTTAAAAAACAATACCTATTTATTACAAATAACTAATATAACTAATTTTTTTAATATATTTAAATTAATCAACTAGTTATCGTATTAAACATCAGAACTTGTATAAATTACTATCATTCACAGGGGAGCATGACCCTTGAAAGTGGTATTTCTTGTTGACCCTTTTTAATTGTCCGGGCAGTGTCTAAAACAGTAAAACTTGCGGACTCGACCAATGAGACATTGAGACTTGCGGAGACTGCGAGGGCAGAACCACGAACTCTCCTTAGTCCTTCCTCGCCGAGTAACGTGCTAGCTAAGGACGAGCTAAAAGCAACAACGTGCTAGCGAAGGATCGAGGAGAGGGATCACATGCACCTGCGCCAGGCTATTCACTTTTCTAGCAGCTCTGTGATTTCATTCTTTTGCAAACACACGGTCAACATCAATTTTAATACTTTTGACCGTGGTCAATCTAGTCGCAGCACTGCTGAGCTCATCTACACTCGATCTTTTCCTATTATTGCTCATGCAGTGAAATGGCGGTCTTTACTCCTTAGTCCTGACGCGCGGGAGCCTCTGCTTCATTCCCCTCCCTCGTCTTTAACAACCGTAGAGCTATTGGCCATTCTCAGAAAAGAAAGCAAGCATTCCCACCTTTTCTTTCTGCTCCGCACCACCGATAAAGCTTCCGTCGTGTGAAGGCGAGACCTTTTTACAATGGCGTCATCTCCGTCGTCTCCAACATCTTCTTGCGGTTCTTCTTACTCTTCCCCGTTCTTCTCTCTTCCCATAATGTCCCTCAGAACGAAGATTGTCGAGAAGATTCAGGAAAATCGCGTCACCCTCATCGTTGGGGAGACTGGCTGCGGTATGTTTTTACGCGAGTTCACTTGCGCGAGGCATTTAGTTTTCTCTTGCTCCATTACGTTTCGGTTTAACTGTGCTCATTATATCGGAGAAACTCTCGGTGCCAACCTGATTAATTTTCATTTGGATGCTTTTTGTTTTTGGTTGAGTCGAACATGAAAGGGGAAGCTGCTATCTTCGTTTTCTACCTTAGCATGTCAAGGAAAAATAATGCCTGCATTCCTCCTCTTGCAGCATTCTTGTTTGTCAATGCATGTGTGCTTTTTAATGTCACGTCTTGGACGTTTTATCTGTGCGATCGTCCTTCCTGATAAAATAAAGTCGCATTCTTCCGCGCTAGTGAAAGCATCTTGGTCATTTGTTCCTCTTGCGCACACCTAGGTCTTAATTTATTTGATATTTCGATTTTCATGTTGAAATTGCGGGGATTAGTTTCAGCAAGAAGTACCGATTCAAAAGACTTCGATTAAAATGAATATATTCTACTTAATAGTAGTTGTATATCCTTTTCATGTCGTTGATACTGCCACTTTATTTCCTCCTTAGGGAAAAGTTCACAAGTTCCGCAGTTTCTTTTGGAAGAAAACATGGCACCCATCCTATGTACGCAGCCCAGGAGATTCGCAGTTGTCACTGTTGCTAAAATGGTTGCAAAAGCTCGTAATTGTGTCTTGGGAGAAGAAGTTGGATATCACATTGGACATTCAAGGAACTTATCAGAGAGGTAATCCACATGCATAGTTAGTAAACCAGCTTCCTTCGGGGTTTTACGCTTTCAATTTTTTGTTGAATGTGATTGCCGTTCAATCATTTGCTTGTGCTTTTTCTGGTTGCGAAGCCTTGAAATGATTTGTTTGAAATCACGACTTTGTTAGGCACGATGACAAAGGATTTTCTAATTTTGTCGATGGCAATATTTGTCCGAAAAGGACGCGCCAATAGTCTTATTACCCATACGGTTGTTGTAATTTCTGTTGATGCATTTGAAAGTATAAAACGATCTAATTACCTATATATCATGCTGACATTTACGCTTCTTCTTACAAAAATATTTTGAATCATATGATGTAACAAAACTCTCACATTTTCACCGGAATACCACTTTGTTGAAGAGATGCGGTTCTCATACACACACACACATTTTAAATTTAAATGAAAATTCCTATAATTATATTGTTTTGGTTGCATTTAAACGTTGTGCGCCTATGTTTCCATGTGCATTACTTCAGGTCAAAGATTGTATTTAAAACTGCCGGAGTGTTGCTAGAGGAACTACGAGAGAAGGGCTTGACTGCACTAAAGTACAAGGCTATATTCTCGATGAAGTGCATGAAAGATCTGTAGAGTCTGATCTCGTTCTCGTCTGTGTGAAGCAGTTTTTTATTAAAAAACAAAGATCTGAGGTAAACATTAAGTTTAACGGTTTTGTTCCGTGGGCTTTTTTTTTTTTTTTAATTACTAACTTGAAGTCAATAATTCAGTGTTGAAGACTCAAATCTCATTAAGTAACATAGAGGAACTATGCTGATTTTCATGTCTAAGATTCAGTTCCGTGTTTAATAATGTTAAGTCTCGAGACCTTGAGGTTTATTTGTAAGGCTGAATTGGCTTTAAAGATGAGGCGGGGGAAGGGAGTGGTAATGTTTTGAGTCTGCAGATAAAAACCCCATTGATGGATATCTTTACTACCTAATCGCATGATTCTCATTGGCAGTCTGGTCTACAAATGCACTTGATAAAATGATAGCAACCCAAACTGCCTCCCTGGACTTGATTAGAAGCATTTTTTTCCCCCTCGTTTTCATGTCCCATTCAATTCAAAATAATTGGCACAAGGATCTAATATATTATATCCTCAAAATTTTCAGCGTTGTTTTGATGTCAGCAACTGCAGATATTTCAAGATACAAGGAGTACTTTAGGGACCTTGGTAGAGGTGACCGAGTTGAAGTTCTTGCAATCCCTACCTCCAATCAGAGAACTGTTTTCCAGTGCGGTGTCACATACCTTGAGCAGGCAAGCATGTGGATTCCATTAGAATAGAACCACATTCCTAGCTTGAGTAATCTACGTTTGGCATATCTTATTTAACGTAGACCGTTATAATGGGTTTAAGTTTGTGGGAATTGTGGCAATAATTATGGACCGAAAAAGTGAAGACTTTAAGCTTTCTGGATTCATTTGATTTCTTATATCCTGCTTGTGAAAGCCCAGTCCTCTTTGCTAAAATTACCTGCATTACTAAAATCTGAGTTACTACATCAATGATGGACATTCTGCTTATAACTGCATCACGCCTGAGTATATAATCAATGGTATATTAAATGAGAAAAACTTTTAAGCACCTGAAACTTTTGGCATCTGAAGCTTAAGGTGGAAGTAGGTTTAAATGGAGGAATATGAACACAAATGAAATTAGAATACTTATGGCTTGTTCTCAGAAGAAGCTGGAGAGTGATGACCATATCTAGATAAAAAATTTCCGACAAAAGTAATTG